GTGTATATACATATATATATCTCCAATAAGTTTATGAAAAGATAGTCAACATCAATTTGTTAAGAAAATACAAATTAAGGGACCAGCAGTTAGCGTAATGGCTATGTCGTTGGACTCCCACGTAGTCGACCATGGTTCGAGTCCCAGACACGGTGGCTTAAACTCACGCCAGGCACGTGTGCGTGCATGCCCAAGATCCCGAGAGGAGAATGGAGGAGAAGGGATTGCAGTGTGGCCATCCCCCCTGGGGGGGTGATTTCTCGCTTCTATCTCTCTGTCTCTCTCTGTCTGGTGAGCGCATGCGCCCTATAGCAAAAACCTCTTCAAAAAAAATAAAGAAAATACAAATGAAAATCAGTGAGATATGATTATATGATTGACTAAAATTGAAAAAGACTGACAACTCCGTACATTGGTGAGGATATGGAGCAACCAGAACTCTATATATTATTGTGGAAATGTAAAATAGGAAAGAATATGACAGTTGCTTTAACACAAACATACACCTACCCTATGATCGGGTAATTTGAGTTAGAGGTATTTCCTCAATACATATGGAAACCTATATCCATCAAAGATTTGTACAAGAATGTTCATAGCATTAATCATTATAGTAAAAACTTGTAAACATCCTGTCAGCAGAATGGATAAACAGAATGGTATCCATTAATAGAGTGGATAAACAAGCCACAATAGATTGATACAATGAAATATTACTCAGCAATAAAAAGGAACAAGTAACAATACAGGCAGTAAACATGCATTAGTCTCAAAATATTATGCTGTGTTTTAGAAGTCATACAAAAAGTTAGCACATGCTATAATATTCCATTTACCTGAAGTTTTAAAACAGGCTATAATGATCTATATTGAAAGATCAAAACAGTGCATGTTAGGCCAGCCTTATGGCCTAGTGGTTAAGGAAGCCAGATTGACACAGCTGACTGCAGTTCAAATCCTGGCCCCAGCAGCTTGAAAACATGATAGGCACATATGAGTACATGACCCAAAGCCTGACAGGATGGAAAAATGGAGGAGAAGGGATTATGGCATGACCACACTCCACTGAGGAATGATTTCTCTGTCTCTCTCTCTTTGTCTCTCTCTCTCTTTCTCTGGCAAGCATGTGTGCCCTCTGGCAATTAAAATATAGGTATGTATTTTAAAAGATCTGTGTGTTTTGCTCTTTGTAAATATTACCCAAAAGGAAAAGTACATTTCATGCTGCCATCATATATAAGGAGTCTTCAAAAAGTTTATTTAAAATGTGTATTTAAAAACTATGCATATATTTACAGTTTTTTGCACCAGAATAAATCCATACTTTAATTTCATTTTTTTCACAAACTTTTTGAAGTATATCAGATATGCCTTAGCTTTTTGAACTCATCTTACCAGACTCTTCTCTTGTGTATTTCCCTGGTACCTTGTCTTTCTATTCTGCTTTGTTTTTGTTTTTTGGGTTTTTTTCCCAAAGCACTTTTTTCTTTTTTTTTTCCCTACTCACTTACAGGCACAGAGGAAATGCCAATTCCTCCAGCATAGTTTCCAAAATTCTGTCAACTGAAAGTAAACTTTTTCTTTAAAATAGATTTATGTGTTCACTTTTGTGTCTTCTCATACAATGAAAATGGAGAAGACTTGGTATATTATCATGTCTCTGACTTATACCTTGAGTCACAGAATGATAGAATGCCTAGTACTGTGATCATAAATTAAAATTTTAGATAGTAAATTTTTTGCTTAAATGAATAAAAAATCTACATATTTATAAAGATATGAACTAAGAAACTGATTTGTGATACCTAATAAAATAATTATAAAATAAAACAATTATAAAATAAAACAGGACTGTTTACCTAGAAGAAAAACTTAAGGAAATATAAATTAACAGAAAAATAATTTGAGAGAAATTTCCTCCAACAAAAGAATAGAATAGCACTTAGAAAAAAACATTCCTAATTACAGACCATTTTTGAAATCTGACAAGAATATGAATTCACCTCCCCAGATTAAAAGAAAAGTAACAAAAACCCCAAAACATATAGCCAACTCATTTTGACAAAGCGTACCAGTCAGTCCAGTGGGAAAAGGGAAACCTCTTTAGCAAATGGTGCTGGAAAAAGTGGGTATCCACCTACAGAAAGATGAATCTGAACCCCTATCTGTCACCATTAACAAAAAATCAACTCAAAGTGAATCAAAGATCTAAACCTAAGATCGCAAGCTATAAAACTACTGGTAAAAACACTGGGGAAACTCTGGGAGATATTGGGGTAGGCAAAGACTTCTTTTTTTTTTTTTTTGAGAGTTTTTTTGCTAAAGGGGGCGTGCGCTCTCCAGAAAGACAGAGAGAGACATAGAGACAGAAAACGAGAAATCACCCTCCAAGGGGATGGCCACGCCACAATCCCTTCTCCTCCATTCTCCTTTTGGATCTTGGGCACGCAAGCACACATACCCGACGTGAGTTTAAGCCACCGGGTCTGGGACTTGAACCGCAGTTTACTACATGGGAGTCCAGCGACATAGCCATTATACCAACTGCTGGTCCCCCATGGGTGTTATTTTTAACAGAGATAATGACAAAATAGAAATGATTGACAAAATGGAAATGACTGACAACTGTGATGAGAAGAAGGCTTGGAAGTTATCCCAAGACAGGAATGACACCATAATTAGTATGAATTGACAACCCTCAGAATGGGAAAGAATTTTTGTTAACTATGTCTCAGATAAGGGACTGATAACCAGAATACACAGGTAACTCAAGCAGCTTACCTGGAAGAAAATTATTATTCCAATTAAAAGATGGGAAAACAAGCTGAACAAACAACTCTCTAAGGAAGAACTGCCAAAAAGCATATGAAAAAATGTTCAACATCCCTCATTGTAAGGGAGATGCAGATCAAAACCACAATGAGATACCACCTAACCCCAGTCAGAATGGTGAAAATTAAAAAAAGAAAAATAATAATAATAATAATAAAGATAAGTGCTGGCGGGAATGTGGTGAAAGGGGAACACTCCTACATTGTTGGTGGGAATGTAAATTGATCCTGCCACTGTGGAGAACAGTATGGAGGTTCCTCAAAGACGTTCAAATAGAACTACCATATGATCCAGCAATTCCACTCCTGGGTATCTACCCAAAGTACAGGAGAGCAGTCAGTAGGAAAAGTGCTTGCACAACTATATTTCAGCACTATTCATGATTACTAAGACATGGAACCAACCCAAATGTCCACAAACAGATGAAAGGATTGAAAAATTATGGCACATATACTCCATGGAATACTATTCAGCCATAAAAAACAAGATCCTGGAACTTGATAGAAAGTGGATGAATATGGAAGATATGTTGCTGAATGAAGGAAGTCAGGCTATGAAAGAGACATTGAGACATTGTATGTCTCCACCTAACATACACTGACTGTCCACACTCTACAGTAGAGACTGAAAGACTGGAGAACATAAAAGCATTAAAAATTGTAGTGGACACTAGAGGTACAGTGGAAGGAGAGTGTGGGAGGGGAAGAGCATAGGAAAGGAAATTGGGGGGGGGGGAATAGAGAGGTAAGACACTTGTGGGACACAGATAAGGTTTTTATCTGTTGACAAGATGTGTATAATAGTCCCAACTGTGCTGGACAGATGTGTATATCATGCTGGGTAAAGTCTCTTCACAATCTAAGTGATATATAGTGATTTAATGTATGAATAATAATTTTTAAAATTAATAAGAAAGTAACAAACAAATTTTGCAGAATTTCAACTTCAAAGAGAAAGTTTATATTCTTTTTTAAATTTCACATAGCTATCATTTTAAATTTATTTTTAAAAATTTAATTTATCATAAATAATGTAAAAATACTGTGCCAAACATTTGTGTACTCTTCACCTAGTTTAGAAAATAAAACATTACCAAATATCATGGGCACCACCATTCCTGAGTTTACTTCTCTCCATACACTCCCACATAGTAGCCATAATATTGAGCTTTATCATTGTCATAACTTTTTAATATAAGTGCATTTGTTAGGCAGTATATAATTTTGCATTCTTTTTAACTCATAATAAATGGTATTATACTCTATGTTTTCTTTTCTAACTTGTTTTTCTTTAATTCATTATTATGTTTTGTGATAAAAAGCATTCATTTAGGTTGATGCATATCGCTGCCTTTCATTCTCACTGTTCTACAGTATTTTATGAACATAATCACTATTTATTATTGTAGTCTTCCTTTCTTGAATATTAGAGTTGTTACAATTTTTTATTATTAACCAAAAAATGTTGTAATGAACTTTCTGTATATTAATTCATAGGTATAAGAGTTTCTCTAGAAGTCCTGGAAAAGAATATCTAACTCATAACATCTCTTGTCTCATGCAATTGACATCTTTATTTTACTGAGTCTTCCTATTCTTATTCAGAGTGTAATATATCTGAACATCTGCTTAGATCTTTTTAAATATATTTCGATTAGGTTTCATAATTTTTGGTTAATTTATTTCTAGATATACTTTCAGTTGCTTTGTGAATACTGTATTTTTTAACAAATTTATGTTTTCCAAATGTTTGTTGCTGAACTGAAAAAAACAGTTAATGGGGCCAACAGCTGTCATGGAGGTTAAGACACCAGATCCTACAAGGCTGATTGCATGGTTTGAGTCCTGAACCCAGCAGCTTAAAAATCACTCCAGGCGCGCACTTGTGTGTGTGTGTGTGTGTGTGTGTGTGTGTTTGTGTGTGTGTGTGTGTGTTGCCACAATGATGTAGAGGGGAATTGCAGTGTGGCCATCCCCCCCAGGGGCTGGTTTCTAACTTTCCCTCTGTGTTTCTCTGTCTCTCTTCCTCCAGTACATGCACCCTATAACAACAACAACAATAACAAAAAAAAAAACCAATAATGTTTTGTATAATGGTCTTCTAGCTAGCAATCTTGCTTAATTTCAAAATGATAAAAACCAAACTATGTTCATATTTTTCTACCATAGCAATTATTGCAAGTTGCTGGAGGAACATCTAAAGAATCCTTAGGAAAAGACTTGAAGACCTTAGAATACTCTGCTTAGGTAAGAGTCATTCACACATAAATGAAAAAGGAAGTAGACTCTCAGATCTACAAAGTCTCAGATTCACTCTTTTTCACAGCTTGCTCCAGGCCATACTCCAGAATATTAGGAAATGAATTAGAATTTAAAAATACTGAATGCAGTGTTACCACTGAGATGAATCGGAAGTAACCACTTGTCAAAATGGATATAAGTATTATAAATAAGAGCTCAAACTAGAAGGCTGCCACTGCTCTCTGATTTCAGTGATTAAAAAAATAATAATAATACACACAAAATAAATAAATGTACTGGAATAAAATGAGGTTGAGAAGGCGTCACAAACCCTCACATTCAAGAAATGAAATACTGGAAAGAGGATATCTAACTTGTAACATCTCTTGTTTCATGCAATAAATACTATAGGCCTATAGTTTTTATCAGATGTATTTATAATTTTGGACACATCTGCAAAATGCTGTTATTTGAGTAAAAGATACAGATCCTTCTATTTCAAATTGCTTCAAAACATCAAAGAAGACAATGTTACATATGTGAGAAAAGTTATATATAGAAAAGACATAAAGAAGTATTAAAAGGGGAAAAATATTTATTAATAATTATAATGAATATAGTTATATAAACTTCCTACATGCTCACATTAATTAAAAAGAAACTTAAATATTTTACTTAACTGAATTTTTTAAACCCAAGCACTACAGACATTTTTAAAAGAATGCAAAGTATTCCATATACATAAAGTCTACTGAAGAGAACAATTTTATTTAGGAAAATGCTTCTGAAGATTTTTGCCTTGTCTGATAGAATACTGAAAGATATGTTTAATGTCAACTACAAAAAAGTTTCTAAATCTCATTTGTTTTATTTGTTTATCAAGTACTTATATAGTTCTTAGCATGTGCCAGCTATTATTCTAAGTGCTTTACAAAGAGGAACTCATTCTATTAGTCAGGGTCTTGGCAGGAAACAGATGGAATGCTCAAATTGGATAAATTGAAGCGAATTGAATAAAAGGAATATTTACAAAGGTGTGAGTGGGATTTAGAAAATACAATAGGGGTTTGTATAACACCCTGACTCGCACCAACAGGGAGCCTTTACCACCCTAGTCCTGCCTACCACCCTAGGCTTTACCACCCTAGGGTCAGAGAGAGTGGTTAGAGATACCCAGGGATAGCTTTATCTTAGAGACTGCTTGGCAGGAGCAGTGACTTGCAGACAACCCACTGCGCCCTGCAGAGAGGGAACACCACTCTGACCTTACTCTCCACCTGCCTCTAGCCCTTGTGCAAGTGCCCAATAGAAAGCCAGAGGGCCATGAGCTCATTGATGCCACCTATGTAGGCTGGCCTCCCAGAGCACAGAAGCAAGGCAAGGAAAAGGTAGAAGTGAATCTAGAGAAGCAAAGAAGAGATACGTAGCACATTCATGGTAACCCCTGTTAGAAGGTATAATTGCTGCCCACATTTTATAGAAACACATTTTATATAAAAATGTGGGCAGAGAGGCTAAGTAACTTGTCCAAGATTACACAGCTCAAAAGTAAGGGATCCAGGATTGCAACCTGGGCACTCAACTATCTTTTTAATCCTGTGGTACAATAAGCTTATTTATCTTCTTATATCTATCCATTATTGTATGAAATATTCCTTCCAATGCTGTCTAATACACTGAGACATAAACAGATAAGAAAAGACTATTGTAAGAGTCATTTCTGACTTCTTTCTACCACCTGTTTAAGGGCTGGAGGCATTTTTATGTTATTGTAGGCACTTAACTACCAAGATTCCCATTATGATTCATAGATCATTTTAAAAACTGAGCAATTTTCATGATAGGCATTCTTCCCAGAAGCTTCTTAGTAGAGTTTGGAATATTATAGCTAGAGGAAACACAGGAGGTGAAAATTTAGTCTCATTTGTAAGTATTCAGTTGTAAATGTGGATTGTGGTTTTATTAAATTTGTACACTTGAAGTCTTTCAATTTTCTGGTAGAATTGTAGGAATCTGACACTTCTTAATAATCAAAGCACAAATCCTGTCTAGATTTTTTTTTATCTTTTCAAATATTAAATAATAAGCTATGGGTTCAGTATAAAGTAAATTTGTTTCAGCAACTAAACTATAAAGCATCTGTCTATAGAGAAAATCATGTTTTCTTATTGACTTCTACTGTAAAATTGGTATTCTCTTGAGTAAACTTCCTACAAGAAGTTTCAAAATTAGGATAAATACAAGGTTAAAATGATTATCATGACCAGTATTGGTTTTTTCCTGGAAATTTCTGTATAGTAAGTGCTTTTTTCCTCCCCAGAACTTTGACCTATTGTATCCACCCTCCTGCCATTTTGTACACCTGCACCTTTCTATTCATATTCTCTGCTTATCTGCCATACACTGCACACTCCAGGCATGCTACATGTATCTCTCTTCCTTGGAGCAAACTTTTTTTTTAGAGAGATTTATGCTGTAAGGCACGTGTGCTTGCTGGAGAGAGAGAGAAAGACAGGGAGAAATCACACCCTGGTGAGATGGCCACACCACTAAACCTTCTCCTCTCAGGACTTTGGGCATGCACACACATGCACCCAGTGTGAGTTTCAAGCTGTTGGATCTGGAACTCAAACAACAGTTGGCCACATGAGAATTCAGCCCCTGAACCACAATAGCACCTGCTGGCTCCCGGAGGATATTTTTTTAATTTTTTTTATGCTTAATTATTTATGAAAGAAAGACAGAGAGGGAGAGAAGCAAGCAACACTCCCTCCCCACCAGGTTCTTCACACCACAGTCCACCCCAGCCTCAGCCAGCATTTATGCCTGATAGGTACAGAGAAACCCCAGGATGCAAACTTGAGATCTTCCCCCAGAGATCTAGCATCACAGAGCATTGAGTTACCACTGTGACACTGGCTGATCCCAGAGCATGCATTTTCATACCTCCATGTCTTTTCATTTGCTTTTCCCTCTGCCATTCAAGCCCTTCTCTTATACTTGGTAACCCTTGCTCTTCATCTGGGAATTGAAATGCTACCTTTTGTGAAAAGATTTTCCTATACCCTAGAAAGATTATTACTCCTTTTTATGAGCTTCTGGGATTTTGTGTATATGCCTTTATTTTGAAGCCCTTACCATTTTATGTGAGCTATATTTGTTTATATATCTTTCTATCACACTGAAACGTGGCTTCTTGAAGACTGCTAGAGTTTTTAAAAAGTTATTGAATAAACAATGGTTACTGAACTAAGGATAATTAGTTATATGATTCTAGAGCTAACATTTCCTCTGTGAACCAGAATTCCCAATTTATTAATAAGTTTCTTAGCCTTTTGCTTTTTTTTTAGACAGAGATTTTTTGCTATGTGGCATGTGTGCTCGCCAGAGAGTCAGAGAGAAAGAAAGCAAGAAATCATCCCCACGGAAGATAACCATGCCGCAATCCCTTCTCCTCCATTCTCCTACCGGGATCTAAGGCATCCACTCACAAGTGATTTTTAAGCCACCGGGTCCAGAACTCGAACCATGATCAACCATGTGGGAGTCCAGTGATGTAACCACTACACTATATGCTAGTCCCACCTTTTGCTTCTTCTAATGATGCCTTCAGTAAGTCCATTAAATTTTAGGTATACAAAAATTTTATTCACACTCAAAACATTAAAAGGATCTAGGTATTATTTCCAGCTAAATTTCCCTAAATAAATATTAAAATCAGAATATGAATTTAAGTCCATATTTTCACAAATTGAGGGTGAAATTTTGAGTTAAAAAATACTTCTTACTACCCTGAGCAACATATAACAAGACCAACATCTTTGTTTTTAATTTGTGTATAAGGGATGGAATTTTTAAAGGGTAAGTGAGCCTCTCCCTGGATTCCCTTTTGGGTCTCAGATGCCATCATAAGTAAGTATGTATTACTTCCTACTGCCGTAGTTTGAGTTTTCCAGTTTCCAGCCACATGGCCTACCAGCCCGCTCACAGAGATTCACCAGGAGAGCATTGCCCACACCATTTACTTCAAATGCAGTTGGTGATGAACCAGCCACTTTCTCTTATCTCCCTGTCACATCCTTATCTCCTGAACATCCGTCTCTCTTCCATATTCAGCAGTGGGACAGAGTGAGGCCAGCTTTGTGTATCATTTAGCTTTTACGTGTGGTGCTATAACCAGAGAGACAACAGTAAAGCAGCAGCCTTCCTTTATTGCCCTCTTCTCCCCAACTATCCCAAGGCTAACACTAAACTCTAGTGATATAATACAACCTTATTCCTCTTCAGATTCAGTTTAGTGAAGATCATTCATTGAGATAGCCTTTGGGTTTCTTTCTCTGTAGTCAGACCTGTCACCAGCATTACTAACCAGGTGAAACACTGTATGTAGAAGTGTATTATAAATCATGAAGCAGTGTGTACGAATATTATCCTTACTTAAGCCATGAAAGAACAAGTGTATTTGTAAATGTTCTTGAAACTAAAATTTGTGTGTGGTAAAGAAAAGTGTCCCATCAGAGACCTCAACATGTAATTTGAGCACTTACAGCTGAGTATGTTTTTCTTGGTTTCCAGAATTATAGTACTGATTGCTGAGAGTTTGTTGCTTAAAATGTGTTATCTAGGGGGTGAACAATGACACAGCCATAAAACATGATGCTTTGCAAGACTGTCTAACACTGGAGGGTTCCAGGTTTTCATACAGAGTTCTTGAGTGCACTAGGCCCATGCATGCCTATCTATAATCCAGGTATGGCTAAAGCTGGAGCTGGATCCCTCTCTCTCTTTGTTTCTCTTTATGACTCATTTTAAAAAATTAAAGTGTTATCTTAATCCTTACTTAATTGGCTAATGGGTTGGAATCTTGGTTTAAATTGTTAGTTTTATTTTCTAGTAATTTCTATCCCTTAATCTGTTTTATAGCATCTGTCATCTATCTACTTCTCCCTGGAGCGCAACTAACTAAGGTTGGGAAACACTAATGTTGAGATTAATCATGTGTTTTT